CCTGACCAACATGGAGAAACCCCATGTCTACTAAAAGCACAAAATTTGCCGGTCATGGGGGTGCAGGCCTGTAATCCCAGCTACTCTGGAGGCTGAGGCAGGATAATCACTTGAACCCAGGAGGCAGAGGTTGCAGTGAGGTGAGATCATGCCATTGTACTCCAGCCTGGAGAAGAGCAAAACTCCCTCTCAACAACAATAACAACCACAACAACAACAACATCAACAAACCTGCAAAAAAATAAATAAATAAAAAAGAATGAGAAAAAAATTAACCTCATTATCAAGATAGTGAATTCTTTAATATATATTGTTGAGTAGAACAAAACAAGTTGATAAACAGTGAACAGTTTGCTTTCACAAAAATAAACGGAGAAAAAGAATCCATAAAAAACTTCTTTATTAATAAGCCTTTCTGGAACACTAATGTAGAAATTAATGAAGTTGTTACAACTCACAGTATGAGAAGCCAGCAGAAGCAGTAGAGACATGAAAGATAGTTTTTACTTTATACTATTTTATACTTTACATTCATTTACTTTATGAATGCATTTACTGAACAAAAATTTAAATAACTATTTTGTGATAAAAACGATGGCAGCTACGAAACATTGCAATTGTCCAACAGACACCAATTCACTATCTTTGTAAGTCACAACACACTTAAAAAGTGAAAGAAAGTCAAAATTGTATGAACTTGAATGAGTGGGCTTGTTTTATGAGCTTGTCCCAAGCTCATAAAATTAGTGGATAGTTAGCCCTTTGTTAAAAACCCATAATAATAAAATTATATAAAAATGTTCTGTCTGAACTTTGTTCATTCCAATGCAGAGTATTTGTTGGAAATAGAAAATACGTGCCAGATCATTTTAAATCATTTTAAATCATTTGAGAGTTGTTTGAACATTCAAGCAAAATTCTGTCACACATGGATTAATTCAAAACTGGAAAATAACTTACCTTCGAGTTGCTAAAAAGAAGAAGCAAAGGTCAAGGACCAGATTTTGGTTATAGAGAATTTGCCTTGCAACTTACGTAACCAATAGTCTTGTCTATTCTGGGCTCTCAAATAGGCTTACTGACACTTCCGCTTCTTTTGTGAATTAACCTACCACTGCCCAGACTGTTAAACAAATTATCCTTTGCAATGGACTTTTTATTGTTGCTGTTTAGAGTTTAACTGGTATCGGTGCTCACCTGTACATTTATGTTATAAGTTATTAGGGCTGAAGTTTATTTTTATTTTGCTTGCTTCATTAAAAACTATTTTAATGTCATTTCCATTCATTGATGTAACTGTTAGTTTCCTTCTTCATATGTCATCCTTGTTCAAAAAACGATTTCAATTTACTTGGAAATCATTGTAAAAATATGAACAAGTTCCTAAGAATTTCCCTCCAAGATGAAGGAAAGCCTAACGTGTGTATTATATTGATTATGTTCTACAGAAAAGTTGAGTCAAATGCAATAACATATAAAGCCATGAGTTATTTCCTTTCATTACTTATGAAGTCTCTCTTTCTATATATCAGTTAATTAAGCAATGCAAATTATTTAATCAACTAAATATATGCTGAACTTCTTGAGATAAAGCTATTTATAAATGGTAGAGAATCCCTGTATCTCACAATAAAGTAGAAAATTCTCTGATTTGACAGTGTTTCCATTTGATCTCACACACTAATTTTTTCCCCTTAGGTGAGACAGGAAGACCAATAGGGGACTGAGGTTGCTAATTGCCCTTTCCCTAGGCAGATAAGAACCTGGTCTCTACTAAATACACAAAAATTATCTGGGTGTGGTGGTGGGTGCCCCAACTACTCAGCAGGCTGAGGCAGGAGAATTGCTTGAAACCAGGAGGTAGAGGTTGCAGTAAGCTGCGGTCATGCCCCTGCCTGGGCAACAGTGAGACTCTGTGTCAAAAATAAAATAAATAAATACATAAAAAGAAAAGAAAAAGAAAAAGCAGTTTCATTAGGAGAACAGGGCTTCATTATGGAGAATTCTCTAGGCATGCTTCAAAATGGTTGCTATTCCCTCTGTCACAGAAAGAAAGAAAAAGAAAGAAAGAAAGAAAGAAAGAAAGAAAGAAAGAAAGAAAGAAAGAAAGAAAGAAAGAAAGAAAGAAATGAAAGAAAAGGAAAAAGAAGAAAGAAAGAAAGAAAGAAAGAGAAAGAAAGAAAGAAAGAAAGAAAGAAAGAAAGAAAGAAAGAAAGAAAAGAAAAGAAAAGAAAAGAGAGAAAGAGAAAGAGAAAGGGAGGGAGGGAGGAAGGAAGGAAGGAAGGAAGGAAAGGGTAGTTTCATTAGGAGAGCAGGGCTTCATTAGGGAGAATACTCTGGAAATGCTTCAAAATGGTTGCTTTTACCTTTCTTTTCCCAGAAAACCACATGAAAATTTTTCCTGCGTCTTCACCTAGAGAACTTGTTGAAATTCTTGGAGGCAAAACAAAAGTGTGTGGGTCTCCCCAAGACTAGGTGCTGGGAGTTTCTCACTCCCAAACTAATCAAAACTCAGTCCCCAGCAATTTGCAAATATCATCTGGTTATTTCTGCCAGTTTACGGCTCCCACAATTTTTGCTCCAAGATAACCTAATCTCACTTGTATTTGTCTCTGTATTTCAGCGTGGTAATGTGTTCGGTGACATAAGTTACCTGGTGGGTCTGAGAAAAGTCATGGGTTTTCAGTCTGTTTAACTATCTTTTTGTAACAATGGGAGTGATGACTTCCAAGCTCCTTACCTGTTATGTCAGAGCCGAAACCAGAACTCTTTATACTAACACAAAATGCTTTTCTAAAAGATGGCTTTACAGAAAGAAAATACATAGACAGAAGTGATGAACGGTCAGGTATAAAAAAAAATTTAAATTGGTATGCTTCTAAATCATCTTCCAGTTTCTGACTATTAGCATGAAAATCTATTTGGTTTTGATCAGATTTCTTGAAACCCATGCTTCTCCTTTTCTGAGTCTGTAAGCATATATTATTTTAAGACAATTTTGATAATTTAATAATAAGTACCTATATATCTTTAGAAAATACCACTTTTAGTGTATTTCCCGTCATTTATCTAAAAGGCTTTCATTTTATTTTTGCTTTGGGGAAAGCACACATATTTGTATGGTCATTTATGTTTTTCTTCATTGTCATTTTATTCTTTTTCCAAGAACTATCATACGTTTTCTGAAGGAAGCATTTTATTTCACTCACCATCCCCCAGTATCTTTTCTGACAAGTAAGACATTTCTCCTAACAAATGTGTCATCATTGGTATAGTTAGCTGTTTCTACATAGGAACCACACATCTGTTTACCAAAACTTCCTGAAACAATATTCTATAATTGTACAAATAGCACTGATAAATATAAGAGAAAGATGAAATCACAGTAATTTTTAAAAAATATATTAGTTATGTAATTTTTAGTTTTATGAGGATTCAATCCAGTCCCATATGCAGTCAGAAATGAAACCATAAAATGTGATGGAAAAAGAGTGGGAACACATGGGCTCCATTATTGTTATTATTTATGCAATGTCTTCTCATTTGCCCAGAGGAAATCATGTGCTTTCAATGGTGAAATGAAAGAAATGTAAGGAATTTTGAAGAATGCTAGAATTAAACAAACATATTCAACTTAAAAGAAAAATAATGTATATTTTAATCATTATTTTCAGGATTCCATCTCAAATGTAAATTTATATTGCAATTGGTCATAAGAAAACAGGAAGTAAATATAATTCATATATAATATTGAGAAATATCTACGGTTTTAAACATCTGTGAATTAGGCAAAGTATTTACACTGTTGTATTTGCTTTTCATAATGACACAATTATAGATATATTATCAGATACATGACTGATATGAATTTCAATATCAACTGTCCATGAATAACCCAAGGGGAAAGTAAAATAATAAGAAAAAATTAAAGTAGCAAGAATATGAAAAAAATTATCAAATCCTGAAGATTTAGAGAAAATATAAATGAAAATCCTACTAGTGGCAATGCAAAAATTGTCCTGTTCAAAAGAAACAGATAAGAAAGACTTCATTTAGGGCTACTGCAATAAGGAAAGAGACCAGAATAATGTCTGAACTGTACTTAAACAAAACACGGAAGAGGTTTTTAAAAGATGGAGTAGGACTATCTAGGTCATGTTGAAGCAGGATTGGCCGCAAGAAACAGACCTCTGTAACTGGGAAGGAAGAGGTGTTTATTATTACGGCCCGGGAGTGAGGCTTTATGTTTTCTCTAAATGGCCAAGCTCCTCTAACAAAGAGAAGCTCTGCCTTTACATAGGCTTACACTCTAGATATTACACGTGAAAGGATCTTAGGTTTACAGCCTTAGAAATCACATATGAAAGGATGTTAGGTTGACAGCCTTAGAAATCATATATGAAAGGATCTTAGGTTAACAGCCTTAGAAATCACATATGAAAGGTTCTTGGGTTTACAGCTTTAGAAATTACATATGAAAGGGTCTTGGTCGGTGGAGGAGTGGTTAGAATATAAATTATAGCTTTATTTTCAAAGAATAAGCAATTGCAGTGCTACCTTCTATGGAAACAAAAAGTTAATAATGCTATGAAAATGTGGAACCCTTGATAAGTTTGCCAGATGTTTGTTATACAACCTAGACACATTGTGAAATGTTTTATAATCTACTTAATAAACGTTAGTGATATGAATGGTTAAAGAGCATTAAAAATACAAATAGGTTCTCATTTTAAGCGTAACATGACTAATTTGTAAATTTTATTTCTTTGGAATTTAAATAAGGTAATGTATTTAACTATAACAGATGTGATAAATACATTAATTACATCTATATACTTTCATGAGTGACATAGCCAACGTAATCTGATAACTTCCTCTCCACCCTCACAAGTTAAAGCACATTGCCTTGGTTTCTTGTCTTCCTTCTCCATATCAACATCTCAAAGATGAAGAGTCACGGTAAGGATGATGTCATTCTGGTGAATATCAATGTAGCCTCGATACTTACCTGGTGGGGGAGATACCATGATCCCCAAGGTGGTTTGCCCAGGGCGAGCCTTATCTGTTGCACTCCGGATGTGCTGACCCCTGAAATTTCCACAAATGTGGGAAACTCAACTGCGTAATTTGTGGTAGTTGGGGACTGCATTTGCACTTTCCCCTGGTTTTATTAAAAAGAAAAGAAGAAAAAAAAAAATGTAGCCTCTATAGGTAACATAGTGAACACTGTGAAATCCCATCCTATATTTATACTCCAAATCAATGTGACTGTACTATATTTAACAAATAAAATAAAAATATTATTTAGTAAAATTAAAGTGTAAGCTATACATGCATTTCTAAATTGTAGACGTTCACTCCAGTTCTTTCACATTTGAGTATTATTTGGACTCTATTTGTTTATAATTATATTTACTATTTTAACAAAAAATTATAAATTCTTATATAGCCCAATATAAGAAACAACCTAATGTCTATCAATGTGCTAATGGATAAATAGTGCCTGGAGTCCCATAACGAAAAATTTCTCAGCACTTGTAATACACACACACACAATACCACAGCTAAGCCTCAAAAAAAAAAAAAAAAATTCTGCCCAGTGAAAGAAACCATACATCAAGGAGTAAATGCTGTCTCAAACTATTTATATCAAATTCTAAAAAAAAGACAAACTAATAAATCCATCGTCTCAAAAAGGCAAAACTAATCTATCTATAGTAACAAAAAATAGAAGAATAAGATGCCTGGATCATGCAATTGAGATAACCCTTGGCTGGAAAGAGCATGAGGAAACTTTTTGGAGTGAAGGAAATTGTCTTATATTGAAGACTATGGCCATTATTTCAGTGAAAAATTTCTAAAAGCAGTTGTTTACTTAAAAATGGGTGCAGTTTATTGTATATCTACTAGATTTCAAAAGAATTAAGAATATAGAATATGAATTACTTTAAAGATTCTATTTAGCACATCATTTTCTTAAAATTTAAAATCATTATTATAATAAATATATATTCTCTTACTTTGAAATTTTAGACAAATAAAATACAAACTGACAAAACTCTTAATTACTGTTACAGATTATTAATATCTTTAATAACACCAACAGTTGTTATAGAGAAAAAAGAAAAATCAGAGCAAACTACAATGCATTTAGGGAAAAGATTCTATGTCTTGATATTTAAAGTCATAAAAGTAAAGGTTAGAAAATATCAAAGTATTATGCATTGAATAATAACAATAATAAAAACCTTCATGTCTTGCTCATATAATTTTGTAACTGTAGTCATTAATTCCTTTATATTTTATGAAGAGACACAAACATCTTCAATAAAGATATGTTTCTTTTTGATCAGGCATAAAATAAACCTTGCTCTGATGAATTGTTTGCATTTAGTTTTGAAACATGGTTAATTTTCTTTAAAGAACATTAAAAAATATATATATATGTATATTCATATAGATTTATATGTTAAACCATGTCCCTCAATATTTTAGAGGTATATGTTTAGGTATATGTAAATATGAAGTACATCTGTGTGTGTGTGTGTGTGTGTGTGTGTGTGTGTGTGTCTGTATATATATATCCCCTCTTATCTTTCTATCCAGCTCTATTACATGGAATTTGGAATTCAGAATTGCACTCTGGGATTTTGTTTTAAAAAATCCTCAATCTCTCTGCTCACTGCTCAATGGTGATCAAAGCTTGGGGAAATGGGATTCAAGGATGAATTTGTCAGAATCCATTCCAATTGTTTCTTTACATCATCATTTTACATTTTCTGTTCAAGGTAAACTGTTAGATTACATAATAACATCTGTCCTGCTACTCCATTTTAAATTGGAAGCCTGATTAAAAATTATAAAACAAATATTATGCCTCAAATGTGGTAGAGTGGTAGCAATTGGTAGCATGCCCTTGCCTGAGAGTAGTACTTGGTTGAGAACAACTAATACAATAAATTAAATTGCATACCTAAATAATTCACAAGTTTACGTAAACTTTTTTTTTTTTTTTTTTTTTGATACAGAGTCTCCCCAGGCTTGAGTGCAATGTCAAGATCTCAGCTAACTGCAACATCCACCTCCCGGGTTCAAGGGATTCTTCTGCCTCAGCATCCTGAGTGACTAGGGTTACAGGCATGCACCACCATGCCCAGATAATTTTGGTATTTTTAGTAGAGACGGGGTTTCATCCTGCTGACCAGGTTGGTCTCGAACTCCTGACCTCAAGTGATCCGCCTGCCTCAGCCTCCCACAGTTTGGGATTACAAGTGTGAACCACCGTGCCTGGCCAAATCATTTTTGTATGGCTGATGTGCTAATATTTTCTTGTGTTATTTGCTTATATTTTACATTAAATTTGTTTCTACCCTTCACATTTAATCAAATGTAAGTGGTGTGTATATGAATAGATGAATATATTCAAGTGACATTCTAAACAAATTTCTATATCCTCTCTGTCTCTTTCCTAACAATATTTAAGAGTATAACACAATAATATTATAACAATAAAGTGTCTAGGAAAATGACTACTAGTGGTTGGAATATATCAATCAATTTATAGCAGAGGAACAACATTTGAATGAGTATTGGCTACTTCGGCAAAAGTACAGAAGCTTAAGTTTAAAGATGCATAAAAGGAGCTGTGGATCATTCCATCAGAACCACCGCAGGCCCTCAGCATCACTTTAGGGTACAGGTTTGACAAAGAGGAAGGTAAAAATTGGAGAGAAATAGTGATAAAAATGAAATAGCTCAACAAAATATTATAAAATATTCTTACCACCTCTTTATCGCTCATCTCTGCAGAATAAATAATGGTCAAACATTTACTTTTAACCTCATATATGGTTATCTCTTGTGCTTGCAAACTGTATAAACTCTCATCTGGTTCCAGGACATTTAGTTGGGTGTAAATGTATGAGACTAAAACTTTTGCATTCTGACACCGGAGACCTTCTGGGATGATGACCGGGTCCCTGCCAAACTTGCAGCATGAGTGTGTGTTAGACGATAAAAGCCACTCACCTTCACACAGATGAGTTAACTTCTTTCTGCTTCAGTTTTAAAATATGAAAAGGAAAATAGAGATGATTAAACATATGAAGTAAGTCTAGGTTATTAAAGTAAAAGACTAGAGGAACAAAAACAGGTAAACAATAGATACATAGATGATAGATAAATCAACAGATAGATGGATCAAAATCAACTCTGATTTTTTTAATAGAGCTGTTTAGGATATATAACTTTTTTTTTTTTTTTTTCAGACAGAGTTTCGCTCTTGTTACCCAGGCTGGAGTGCAATGGCGCGATCTCGGCTCACCACAATCTCCGCCTCCTGGGTTCAAGCAATTATCCTGCCTCAGCCTCCTGAGCAGCTGGGATTACAGGCAAGCGCCACCATGCCCAGCTTTTTTGTATTTTTAGTAGAGACGGGGTTTCACCATGTTGACCAGGATGGTCTCGATCTCTCGACCTCGTGATCCACCCGCCTCGGCCTCCCAAAGTGCTGGGATTACAGGCTTGAGCCACCACGCCCGGCCCTAGGATATATAACATTTTTTAAAGAATTATTTAGCAATCTCAAATAATTAGAGACACTACACTATTCATAGATCAATAGCAAAATTCTCGACAAAAAGTGATCAGACATTTCGTAAAGAGCGCAAGAAAATTACCCACTACCTGCCCCTTTAGGGAGAAAGGGCCCACAGCCAAGGGCAGGCCAAGTTCCCCAAAACAAGTCAGAGACTGACAACCCAGGGACTGGCAATTAATAGCACAAGATGTCAGCGACTTGACTTCAAAATGTTCTTATTAGAGGTTTACAGAGTCAACACCTTCAGACCAATGGAAACAAATAAAACAGACTTTAGGTTTTTATTCTAAAAAAAAAAAAAAAAGAAAAAGAAAAAGAAAAAAGAACGAAATTAAAATACAATAAGTTATAAGAAATTATTCAAAATATAAGATAAAAATCCAAGACTGTGAAAGAGGTGATTAAGTTATTGCCTGTTTTACTTTGGAACACAGTCTGCTTAACTGCAGAAGCTGTATCAGGCATCCCCAAACTATGGCTCATGGGCCGCATGCAGCCCCCTGAGGCCATTTATCCGGCCCCCCACCGCACTTCAGGAAGGGGCACCTCTTTCACTGGTGGTCAGTGAGAGGAGCACAGTATGTGGCAGCCCTCCAACGGTCTGAGGGGCAGTGAACTGGCCCCCTGTGTAAAAAGTTTGGGGATACCCGAGCTATATCACTGAAAACCATTGTTTAAACAGCACCATAAAGTTGGAATTGGGTGATGACTTCTTACAACCCTCAAAGAGGCTTTACAGAGAATTAAACAGCTTAGAGTGAATCTTTCCAAAAAGGGAGTAAAACATTATACCGTGCGATCATACAATATAATTCCCCAATAGCTGAGAAGAAAACAAAGTAACTAGAAGGAAGAGCTAACAGAGGAGCACATTTAAATACACAGGAGCACTACTTCAGATCAATGACAACATGTAAATAACCTTAAATATTTTTACATGATAAATTGTTTTGACAAAATCTGAAAAGGACAATTTAAATAACAACATACCAAAAATATCAAGTCAATAATAAACACTAGAGTATTCTATTATCTTCAGCTTGTTTCGTCATTAATTGGACAGCAGAAAATAATGCAGCAATTGCTAGCATATTCCATAGAAGACAGCCAAAATTCATTTAGTAAGAATGCAAACCCTTTTTCATTGTAGCATTATTCACTACAGCCAATTTATGGAAACAATCTAAATGTTCATCAGCACACAAATCACTAAAGAAAATTTTTTTTAAATATAATGAAATATTAGTGGCCAGGCATGGTAGTTCACATCTGTAATCCTAACACTTTAGGAGGCCAAGGTGGGTGGATCACTTGAGCTCAGATACGAGCCTGGGCAACATGGCAAAACCCTGTCTCTAAATAAAATGTAAAAATTAGCCAAGTATGGTGGTGTGCGCCTGTAGTCCCAGTTAACTGAGAGGCTGAGGCAAGGCAGGAGGATCACTTGAACCCAGGAGGCAAAGGTTGCAGCGAGTTGAGATTGCACCACTGCATTCCAGCCTGTGAAACAGAACAAGACCCTGTCTCAAAAGAAAAGAAAAAGAAAGAAATATTACTTAGCTTTA